GAAAGAAATATTTTTTTTATATTTTTTTTTTGGTTTTCAGGGTGTGCAAAAAAAAAAAAAGAAAGAAATATTTTTTTTATATTTTTTTTTTGGTTTTCTGTGCTTTCCCAGAGGATCCCAAATCCGGGCTCATTCGTCTTTTTGCGAGTTGGCTCTCAAGGGGAGGGGAGGGGGGTCTAAATTGGTTTTAAAGGGAGTTGCCTTTGTGTGATTCTGTTATAATTTTCTTTTTTATTTCCGGTTCTGTGACGAATTCCAATGTGACACTCAGCCAAAACTTGTCTGTATTTCAATTCTACACACCATATTTTCTTTCCGGAATGGCTTGATTTTTTTTTGAATTCTTTTTTTTTTTTTTTTCGGCGCGCTGGGGCTGCCCGGAACCCTGCCCGTCAGTCATGCCCGGCCGGGCACCCGGGAGCGTACTACCCGCCATAAGTTTGGTGCCCGGGCGCCCGGAAAAACAAACTAGGCTTGCAAATCCAGAAAAGCATACTTTTGAGGCCATGATCCTCACAATCTACCGGGAGGAAGTGACCCTTCATGCACCCCTATGGAGAAGATACGCCTTCCGGGGATATTGAACCCCCCCCTGGTCCTGATCATAGACTGAAATGATGACATTAAACCACCAGTACCTTTCCCATATGTTGGCCGCGGCCAGTCTCGAAGGCCCGATACGAAAAGCGGGCCGCCGATTCCGTTTATCAACGGTGGCCCTTCCCCAATAATTGGCTATCGGGTTATCCGGTGCGTCTTTGATTTCAACCCGGGAAAGGTACTGGTGGTTTAATGGAGACAATAACCTCTGGAGAAAATGACGCCCGACAAGACGGACTTGCAGTAGACCGTTTGCAAGTGATTTTGGTCGTAATTGTGGCCAGATACATACAGGAATGGCCATAAAAATTGCAGTCAGATATGTTCAGAAAAGTGACAAAGTCCTATAATTGTGAGTTTTTCATGTTCTCATCTTCATGGGCAAAAAGTTAGAAAAGTTTTCAAGTACACTAAATTATCATCCTGGGAAAAAAATAATAAGCGCTGCTCTGACAGAATATGAACAAAACAAAAACAATTGAATCAAAGAAAGAACTCAACCGCAAACAAAAAAAAAAAGAACTCGAACGGACGGCTGAGAATGCCCAGTAAGAAGTGTGTCTGGATGCTCTGCACAATCATCATAATGAAAAAAAAGAAAAAAGAGCACAATGCATTGACAGAATGAAGCTCACACGCACAAAAACAAAAAAAGAAGAAGAGAAAAAAAGAAGCCCACACGCACAGAACAACCGGGGGGGAAAAAAAAAAGACGAGTTTGATGGACACGGATAGAAGATAGTATCACAGATTCACAATACCATTGATTAAAAAAAAAAAAAAAGGTGTCTTTTTATTGTGAGGGATGGGGTTTCAAAAAAAAAAAAAAACGAAACCAAGGTAAAACAAAAATGGTAAAAAAAAAAGCGTACAGAAACCTGAGATAGACTTCATGGCTAAGACCCAGCATTGATGGGAATAAAGATAATGAGAGAGAAAAAAACATTCATTTAAAAAAAAAAAAAAAAAAAAAGAAAGCCACTGCTGCAACATCAGCATGCTTAGAAATCCCAAACTCATGGACTCCAGTGACCATCTCCATCTACCTTAACTACAAGTTCTACAACAGGAGGAGCCTCAGGAAGAAAGGCATCCAGATATCTCTATCCATGTACTATGATTAATCACTCGTGACAAGTTTGTTCCGGCGAGGCACCCATCAAAGGAGGATTAGCTCGTATGGCCGGAAAACTTTCACCTTTTGTTGTTAACTGCAAACTTTCACTTTGTTTGGCCGCAAACTTTCAGTTTGTTGGCCGCAAAATTTCACTTTGTCGGCCGCACACTTCCAATTTCGTCTGCTGCGAACCTTGGTTTTGTTTAACTTTGTTAACTGCAGACTTTCACATTGTCAGCCGCAAACAAATCTCACTTTGGTCTCAGTCGCAAACTTTCAGTTTGTCGGCCGCGAACTGTCACTTTGTCAGCCGCAAACTTTCGCCTTGTCAGCTGCAGACTTTCACGCTGGCAGCGGCAAACTTGCACCCTGTCAGCTGCGAACTTACACTTGTCAGCTGCAAGCGTTTTTCAATGTGGCGACCACATACTTTGAATTTGGCTGGCAACGGCAAACCTTCACTTTGTTAGTCGCAAGCTTTGAATCACTTTGTCAGCAGCCGACTTTCATGTAGTCAGCAGCACTTTGTCCGTCGCAAACAAAATCTTGACTTTGTCATCCGCAAACTTTCACTTTTAGTCAGCCGCGAACATTCACTTTGTTCTCAGTCGCAAACTCTCATTTTGCAAACCACAAACAGATTTCCATGCTGTCACCTGCAAATAATATTTATCTTGTCAGCCGCAGTCGTTCACTTTGTCAGCGACAAACACTTTGCCTGGCAGTGCTGCGAAATTTCATGTTGTTTCAGTTTGTCAACCTCTCGAGTTTCACATTGTCGGCCGACAGAAGGTTAACCGACCCCCCAGGGGTGAAAAGTGGGGGTACCTGTTAACCATTTGTGTGTCGGCCACAAAGTTCAACATTCACGTTGGGAGTCACGAACAACTCTCACTTTGTTGTCAGCCACAAACTTTCACTTTGTCGGCTGCAAACTTTCACTTTGTCGTTCGCGAACTGTCACTTTGTCAGCCGCAAACTTCCACTTTGTCAGCTGCAGGCTTTCATCATCTTGTCAGCTGCAGACTTTCACCTTGTCAGCTTATTCTAACTTTGTCAGCTGCAAACTTCCAATTTCACAACCACAAACCTTCACTTTGCTGGTTACAACCTTTTCCACTTCGTCAACTGCAGACTTTCATTTTTTGTCAGCGGCAAACTTTCATTTTTTGTCAGCTGCAGACTTTCATTTTGTCAGCTGCAAACTTTCATTTTGTCACCACGTTTTTTCAGCCACAAACAAAATGGTGACTTTGTCATCCGCAAACTTTCACTTTTAGTCAGCCACCAACATTCACTTTGTTCTCAGCTGCAAAGTTTAACTCTCATGTCGTCACCCATAAACGAAGTTTCATGTTGTCATCTGCAAACTTTCACTTTGTCAGACGCATTCGTTCACTTTGTTGTCCACAAATGAACTTTGACTTATTCAGCCGCGAACTTTCACTTTGTCAGCCTCAAGCTTTCACATTGTCAGCCGCAAACTTGCGCTTTGTCTGAAGTTTGCAAGTCACAACCAAATTTCCACTTTGACAGCAGCTGCAAAAGATCGCTTTGTCAGCCACGAACAAAGTTTCACTTTGTTAGCCGAAAACTTTCACTCTGTCAGCTGCCAGCTTTCACCTTGACTTCGCTCACAAAGTGAAACTTTGTTCCTTACTGTCCTTGTGAATCTTGCGATAACAAACCAATAAGTCGTTCCTCGCGCATGACTGCTGTCAGCCTTTCCTGCTCCAGATGATCCAAATGCCGTATGACTTGTTTGATTAATGACTCCACGTGTGGTGTGTGTGGAACCTGCCTCTGCAGACGATGCAAAAGCTCAATTGCTGCCTGCAAGGGTTGCACACAGAAAATGAAAATTAGGTGGGTAGGTGGGGGAGAGAGAGAGAGAGAGAGAGAG